CTCCGACGAAACAGTTTGTCACAGCCCCTCGTTTGTTGTCCTCTTCTCCCTCTCTGCCTACGGTTTACCGGGCAGTTCTATTTGACGATATATATATATCGTCACAAACAGATATATTGTGACGATATATATATTCGGGACGGGCTGAACGACGCCCGAACATGTGGGACCCCTTGGGGATGCATTCGGCCGTTCTGTGAGGAACATGCCCTCAAGGGGCCCTATCAGACATCACATGTTCTGGGCTAAGGCCCCAGCAAGCCGAGTGCCCGCCCTAAGTGAAGGCGGGCCTGAATATTCGTCACAGGCCAAAATTCGACATTTCCATATGTGGGTATTCAGGCTCTCGCAGCACGCCAGTTGGTTGGGTAGACGCGTGAGCCTCACTAAGCTGCGTCATACAGTTGGGCCAGGCCTTGACAGTTGCGCCTGGGCACATACACATCAAGCAGAGCCGATACATTTGGAAAAGCAGTACTGCCTACGCACCTGCCTGGGAGCCCTGCACAGATGCAGCAAACAGCCCAAGTCTGGAGACTCAGGCCGTGCCCAACTGAAAAGGGCCCAGACCCTCAACTGTAGTCTTGGGCCTGGGCGCAGGGTCTGAGGCCCAACCGGAAGCTACTGGAAGCTTCCAGCCAGGCCACAATCAGCATCCAGGAGGCTGCCACTTCCATAAAAGAAGTGAGGCAGCCCAGGCCAGGCATTCTGGCCAGTGCAGGCAATGAGGAAGTGCTGATGCGCTATCGCTTGATGCTGCGCTGCTGCCAAGGGCGCTGACGGGGCGCGTAATGGTGAGGTGGGGTGCTGCAGGGCAGCAGGGCGCAGGCAGCCATGAGCGCCAGAGGGTATAGTGGGTGATCTGGTGGTCTTCAGGGAAGGAGGCGCAGTGTGGGGTAATCAAGGTCTGATTGAGGGTGACGAGATACGTACCTGGTGCATGAAGAGAGGTTGGCTATGGAGTTGACAGTCATGTACATTGGTCTTCGAGAGTCCAACTGAGCCTGTTGCGTGAACCAGCTTTAGGTAGGATAGTCGGGCAGAGTAGGTTGGGCGCTGGGCGCCAGACAGAGAGGAGCGACTTGTGTTGGTGTGGCTTACGGGCTTGAACATTGGCTCATTACTTCATTGTATTGCTCTATATTGATGGTTTCTCGGTGCATTTTGTACTCTGTGCTTGGATACGACTACCTGGACATCTGTGTGATTTTGCAACATTGGTTTTCTGTATATCGTTCACACTCGTATTCCTTGCAATTTGGTATCGGAGCTGGTTCGTGATCGCCGCTTACCTGGCACCGGCGACATTGTTACTTGGTGCGCTGACGATGCTTCATGTGCAGTAAGGATACTTTGGCGCTGGTTTGATTGAGCGGGGCCCAGGTAGAGGGGCCAGCTGCTGGAAGGCTGTGGCGACAGCGTGGGAGCTGTGGCGACAGCGGGTGTATGTATGATGATGAGAGTATGCTGACGTGGCATTTTGGCTGAGGTGGCACTGCTATATACTGAGCATTCAAACCTGCCCCTTACATTAGGTTCTCGAGTCTTGACAGATGATTATACTGTAGGAAAGCAGGGAGCATCCCAACCAGACCTTAGCTCCAGATGCAGTGCAGCTTTTCGTTTCTTTTAATTCATTTTTATTTTTATTTTATTAACAAACATTTTCTTTTTTGCCCAGCGCAGCCAGCCATTTTGACCTGGAAGGTTAGGCCTCGGTTAACGCAGTGGGTTAACTGTTGCATTGGAACAAAGGGAAAGGGACCAGTGGTTTAAACCACCAGTACATGCGAGAGGCGGAATCTCCATGCACGCCAAGCTTTGCTGAAACATCAGAATGGCATTTTTGTTTTAGTTTTGACTGTTGCCGCCAGCAGTTTTGGTCTGGTGGCCCCGAGCCTCCGAATTTTTTGAAGAGAGCCTCTCTCAAGTTGCCTGGGGCCATGTACTGGTGGTTTACTAATGGTTAGCTTATGGTTAAGGCTTTTACGGGTTTAGGGTGTAGATACTAATGGTTAGCTTATGGTTATGGGTCCACTAAAATGAAGCCATTGTTGTTTCAATACCTGATGTATGGTGAGTTAACACCAGCCTTAACCTGTGGTTAGCAGGACTATCTGGTTCTCTTATTTCCGAGTAGCGATCACATAGGTTGCAAGGGCACTCACCGTTGAACCACCAGTACTTCACCCAGCCATTTGTTCCGACACGGCCATATACACACCACGAGCTTCAGGGGTGGGAACCCCGAAACAAAATGGCTGGCAGCACAAGCGAAAATGAATAGATTCCGCGCCTGCACTTGTTCGACAAAACTCGGCGCCCGGCAGAAATTGGGACTGGGAAATAAGGGGGGCTGAAAAGTACTGGTGGTTCAACCCCCAGGTACAGGGGACACCCTTCTGCGGACCTCTGACAGTTTTTCCATCAGGAATGAATTTAGTCCGGCTGCCCGTGCATCAAAAGCACAGCCAACGGAGTAACTGCTGGATCGTCATGATGAACTGGATTCCACTTTTGAACCACCACTACTTCCGAGACACTTTTTCCCGGGGTTTGAAATGCCCTGCGCAGCAAAAGAAAAAAATGAACCGGCATGGGCCTCCTTTTGGCTGTGTCACCAGCCATTTTGCTCCGACAGCCAACCCCCGAAAGTTGCAGCATGCATGCAGCCATATAGAAAAATGGCTGGGAAACGTACTAGACTACTAGTGGTTTAAGTTTCAAACCCCACTTGATTGACCACAAATTGTACCACACTCACCCGCCCGTGGTCCTTTTTTTTCTTCTTTCCTGTTCTTTCTTTTTCCTCTCTTTTCTGAACTGGTATTTGACACCAGTTGGAGGCCCTGTCATTGGCAGTCTGCTGGGAAAGAAATGATCTGGTGTCCTATCATTGGCAGTCTGCAGGTAAAGTGCCCTATGATTGGCAGTCTGCAGGGAAAGAAATGATATTTTCGAAGTTTTTGTCCTACTCACAAATTGTGACTGTTTTCGTTCTGTCTGAACCTGACTCTGACAAACATGGAATACAGATAAAGAGTCTGGTGAAGGATGCAGGCGTGGATATCACCGACGAACAGGTGCACGAAGCCTTCCAGCTAGCCTATGAGATTGAGATTGAATGTGGTGCCTATGTTAAGGAAGGATGTCCTCCCAAAGTTTCTCTAAAGACCTTCCTCATCACCATGCAGCATGTGAACCCTCCCCCAGAACCGCCCATCATTTAGAATTTTACATGGCCACAGTTTTTTTCCCCATCCTGAGCTGCAGTTCGGTCGACCGGTCCAACAAAGCGCATGCTGCCCATGACAGGCCGGACCCGATGCTGGTTCGGCAAGCGAGGATCAAGCCCGCAAGAGGTTCGCCTTTGGCAAAAGTGCCAAGTGGTGGTTTAAGCAAAACCGGCCGAAGGGCGGAGCTGGCAGAGGGGAGCGAGGGGGCGTGAGAGGGGTCTTTCATGCCCCAAACAATGTGGTCAACAGACTCAACACAGTTTTGCAGGTTTTTGCCTGTTCTTCAGACAGAAGATTGTTACACACGTAGCGACGATGATCTCCCTCTGCAGCACATAGAGAAGAGAAGATGATTCAGCTCTGTTGCATGCATCAGATGGTGTCGGAATCTGAATGTTGCAGGGCAGCAGGTACCGGAAGTGGCATGAGCAATTAACAGACTGCGGGATTTTGGTTCAATCATCTTGAATACGGGTACACCTTTACCTGGCGGTTAGCCCCCAACAGGATCCCACACCTGCAGCTGTTAGTTCATGGAACAACAGACCCTGTAAACTGCAAGAATACTGTCAACCATTCCTCCTTTAAGAAATCCTTCTTGTGTCTTCACAGTCAGCAGCCAATGCTAAGTAGATGAGGGTTCAAAGGTAAACCATGGTGCTCAAGGGTGTGCAAGGGGCCAAGGGAGTAAATTCAGAACCAGTTCAACCTACTCTCTCTCTCTCTCTCTCTCTCTCTCTCTCTCTCTCTCTCTCTCTCTCTCTCTCTCTCTCTCTCTCTCTCTCTCTC